AATTTTTTTCGTAATAACAAAAATTTTATTAAATGGAACAACAAATAATGCAAAAAAGAGGGGAAAATTGTTGAAAAAAATATAAAAAGGGTTTAATTGTCCTTTCAATGCTTTTTTTTTACTGTTGACCCCCCTGAATTTTTTACATCTGACGCGCCTAATTTGAGTGTATTTCACGCTATTTTGCCAGGTAGGATCCGAGTTGTTTTTTGTTTAAGTTTTGGATAGTTAAAGTGCCTATTTGTGCATTGTGAAAGTTGGAGGTCAAGTTAAAATTTGAAACCAAGTTTAGGGGTCAATATATGTATTATGCCTTTACTAAATTATTGGATTCATGTAAGGATTGTTTTTTTTTGTTTTGTTTTAGCATTTGATTTGTGCATGATTCTGTTTTGGAATACTGGTTGGTTTCAATAAATCTCACAATTTCCCTTCCACACTTGCTCAAGTCAAATTTATCTACTTATCTAAAATGAGTGGTACAACACTTGGATATCAAACTGACAACTAGCATGGAAAGGCTTCGATTTGACTTTGTCGAAGAACAATTATGAAAAACAATTAAATGAAGGAACAAGGGCTGGTAAGGAACAACTTGAAACTGCAGCTCATGCATAATCTAAAAAGGTTGGTGGCGAAAAAAAACGCTTCTAGTCCTAACCAACAAAGGAATTTTTCGCAACAAATAAATACTGGAAACAGAGGTGTTACTTCTGATGGTTATGAGCATGATTTAGTGGTTCAAGTTCAATCAAAAGGTGATGTCCAAAGGGATCAGTTGGCTACGGTTGCTGCTAAGCCGGGTGAAAATGTAGGTGAAGAGCACGCTAGGTTGACTGATGCTAGTGCAATTGATCAAGCTTTAGTTGCACCCCCGTTTCTAATAAGGAACAATAAGATGCGACAAGTGCTTTGAGTTGGGCATATATAGTAAACGAAGAGGAACAGTGGGTCGCTTCTCCTCCTATGCACAGAAAATTGTGCCCTGCAGCTCCAATTTTTTTGTACTAGAAATGCCAAATCAGTTAGGCATGGGATAGATTGGCCATCAACTGATGTTGCTGCAATTTTAAGTGATCATTTGGTGAGTTCTGATGTTGAAAAATTTACTTTTCTAACATCTATTAACACTAAAAAAACAACTACAAGTTGGTGGTAGTAGTCATTTCTCTCCAAATAGATTTGATAACCTACAGGCTACAAGATGAGGACATCTTTGAGGAAAGTGAAGAAGAGGATGTGTTGGATCATTGTTTTGCAAATGCGGCTAAAAATGCAGATATTTCTTCTAGGCAACACCGCAATAACAAAAAGAAGCATGAAAGAAAGACTAGTTGGGGTGGTAAGATGACTGAGGAATTTGTTTCAAGGCACTTACCGATGCGACTGACAAAACAAAATCACATGATAGTGTCAACAATATCCAATAAACCGAAGAAAAAGTGATGAACTATCAAGAGCTATTGGATAAATTTGAAGAAGACAAGAGAAAATTACTCCAGGTTACTTTAGAAAACTAATTTGTCTTGTTTAGGTCATCCATTTGTAGAAGGAAGTTTGAGGTTGATGACTTTACTTTCTTCTTGACTTTTATAATTTTGCATTACTGAAGCATCCTCGTATGTAATATTAATAAACTCTACAATGGTCATAGAACATCTAATTCTCTCTAGCTCTTATTTTCTTCATGGTTGTTAAAAATAGTTCTTAACCTCATTAAGATTGGTAAGGTAAAGTCTAATCCCCCTTCCTTGTTGTACTTGTCCCAATGAAGGATTTTTAATTTATTATTAATAAAAGACCACTAGACACGCAGTCTAGTGGTAAATTCGAAGGAAAAAAATACAGTAAAAGAATTCAATGTTTCTATCAACAAGTTGCACGGTGAAATACCCTCGGGGCCCTTTCAAGAACCTCACAAGTCAGTTTTTCATCGACAATGAAGCATCACTAGATGTTCCAACCTTGATTTTAAGGCTTTAGTACTTGAGTACATGCGTGCCTAATGGGAGCCTCGATAAGTGGCTGTATTCACACAACTACTTCTTAGACATCATGCAGAGACTAAGCATTATGATGGATGAGGAACGTGCGTTGGAATATCTACATCATGAGTGCTCCTTCCAGTGATTCAAATCAAAATGTAATTGCGGCAGAACAAGAGAAAATCCTCTATTTTAAACCAACAATCAGAATTATGCATTAAGAAAATAATCACTCATGCAAACACTTTAGAGTTAACAATTTGCAGAAATTCGTTGAGTTTCATACCTGAGTGAGTGCTTGAAACAACAAAGGGAAAATCATTCGCTAAAATTCAACAAATAACCACTTTTCAGCTCCTGCAATTGAAAAATAACTTGTTCTTGTCCCATCGCGTCCCGAGAACTCAAAATGCAGAAGAAAACAAAGGAAATATCTGTTTTTACTTAATGGGCGCAAAAAAAGCTAAAACAATAGTTAAAATGAGACAAAGGGAGTTCAATTAATCTGCGGAAAGAGATACTCTATATTGACCACTTTACTTGTCACATTTTTCAGTCAATGTTGCAAATTGGTGGATCGCAATCAAAGTAGACATTTTCACTGGAAATTTATAGTAGGCATTTTGTAGTTATAAATTCTTTTATATTTTATTGGGTTATTTTATACTTAGAATTGAGGGTAGTTGGTGATGTTTTTATTCAAAATAGCAAGGAAAGGCCTCATTTTGGTTGTATAGAATGAACGTGAAAAGTAAAATCCTTAAAACATATGATTTTTGAATAGATAAAAAGATCGAGATAGCATGAGATGACCTATTTCAAGATCAAATGATTCACCTCTTTGTTTGCTTGTGAGGGACAACTTGGAAATGTCAAATACCACGAAACAACCCATAAAAACAGAGAGTGTATGCCCTTTTCGATGCAGTTCACGATGTGGAATAGTCAACTAGCCAAGCTAGCCCTTTCCGATGCAGTTCAAGACTAAACACTACTAGTTTTCCACCGTGAATCAATGATCAACTCACTGCATAGTGAAAAACAAATTCTCGATGAAACTCTTGAGAAGCTTCCTAACCAAGGCAAATAAATATATATTTTACCCTCTCCATTAGTTACTTATTTCCCAAATCATCTTTCAAAACCTAACACTATATATCAATTAATATTGGATATTGTGACTATTGCATTCTCATTTTCAATAATGTGAGACACATACCATGAGAATGTCAAGAAGTTGAATTCTTCACTTGCCCACACAGGCAAAACACACATTTGTGTCCAGACTTTAGTATGCGTTCCCACGGATTTAGTCCAAATTCAATATTTATATTTAAAAATTCACTAACGATAGAAACCGGTCATAATCAACACCAGATGTCACTAGCCTAGAATTTAAAACCAATTAAAATTATGTCTTTGATATGCGTGGAATTACGGACGTCAGAAACTAAGTCAAGATTCAGTGTTATATTTTTATCGACAATTTTAATTATTTGTGTAAAATTGTGTTAACACCACAATTACAGTTTGTGTTAACCAAATCTTGCAAACTGTGATTGTGGTGTTAACATGGTTTCCCATGAATTTGTGTAAAACATGTTAACACCACAATCACAGTTTGTAATATTTGGTTTTGTTTCAATTGGTCAAGTCCTTAGGCCCTACATAATTAAACTGGAAAATAAATTAAATTGGGGAACAATAAAATTATCACTATTTAAAGTCTCAAAACCATAGGTTACTAGCCATTCAATTTTCTTACTAACTTATGCAATTATGGAGAAAATATTAACCTCTTTTCTCTTGTTGCTTCAGTATGTTATGGCTAGTTCAGCCATGACCCAAACTAACATTACCACTGATCAATCAACTCTTCTTTCTTTAAAATCTCAAATCATTTCAGACCCCTTTCACTTCTTAGATGATAGTTGGTCTCCCACTACTTCTGTTTGCCATTGGATAGGTATCACATGTGACTCTCGTTACCAGCGAGTGAAGTCCTTGAATCTTTCCAACATGGCTCTTACAGGAAGGATCCCCCGTGATTTTGGAAACTTCACATTTCTTGTTTCTCTGGACTTGAGAAGCAACAATTTGCATGGAAATTTGCCTAAAGAAATAGCACACTTGCGTCGGCTTAAGTTTCTTGATTTAAGTTTGAACAACTTTAGAGGGGAGGTTCCTTCTTGGTTTGGGTTTTTACACCAACTTCAAGTTTTAAATCTTGGAAATAATAGTTTCACTGGTTCAATCCCTTGTTCCATTTCTAATATTTCCACACTTGAAACTTTGAATCTGAGATTCAATTCAATAGAGGGTCAAATCCCAAAAGTGATTGGAAGTCTTGAAAACTTGAGAGTTTTAAACTTGGATGGAAACAAATTCATAGGTTCTATTCCGGAAGAGATTGGCAACCTTCACTACATGAACTACTTGTCCATACAACATAATCAGCTTACGGGTTCTATACCACTCACAATTTTCAATATCTCTAGAATCGAAGCCATTGGATTTACAAACAATAGCTTATCAGGGAATCTTCCGAATGGTTTATGCAATGGTCTCCCAATACTCAAAGAGCTTGATCTATCAATAAACATGCTTCATAGTCATATGCCTACAAGCTAGCTTGTCAAATTGTTCACAACTTCAAATATTGTCTCTATCCCAAAATAATTTTGATGGGCGAATACATAGTGAAATTGGAAGATTGAGTAACTTGCAAGGATTGTATCTTGGATCCAACCATTTCACAGGTATGTTTTATCTTATGACAGCTAGTACTATTGTATCTAATTACCTCAGATAGTTTTTATTAACACATTAAATGCAGGGATAATTCCACAAGAAATCGGAAATCTTGTTAATTTGGTGGAGTTAACAATGGAGAAAAACCAGATTACCGGCTCTATCCCGGTCTCCATATTCAATATCTCATCGTTGCAACTTGTTTCACTAAGGGGGAACAATCTCAAGGGATCCTTACCACGGGAGATTGCTAACTTGACCAAGATGCAAGTTTTATATCTTCCCGAAAATAGGTTCACTGGTACGTATTCAAAGTGATAACCAAAAGTATAACTTACACTGTATTGAACTAAATTCACTAGTATTCATGTGTTGACAGGTGAAATACCCAAAGAGATAAGAAATCTCGTTGACTTGGAGGTACTTAATCTTGAGTTTAATAGTTTTAGTGGTTCACTTCCACTGGAGATCTTCAACATATCACGACTGACAATAATTGATCTTTCAGCCAATAATCTATCAGGAACCCTCCCACTAAACATAAGTTCTACCTTACCCAACATTGAAGAGCTATATACTCTTTCATTCAATAATCTATCAGGAACTCTACCATCAAAAATAGGTTCAACCTTACCTAACATTGAACAGCTTTATCTGAATAGCTTAACCAATCTTTTTGGGACTATTCCTCATTCTATCTCCAATTGTTCAAAGCTTACTGATCTAGATCTTTCACGAAACAAACTCACAGGCTTAATACCCAATTCTCTTGGATATTTGACTCATCTACACTTCCTAAACTTGGGGATAAACAATTTAAGCAGTGATTCAATTTTAAGCTTCCTGACTTCCTTAACCAATTGCAGAAATTTAAGATTTCTTTCTCTATCTTTCAACCCTCTAAATGGCATGTTTCCGGTCTCCGTAGGGAACTTCTCCATATCTCTTATACAATTTTATGCCATTACTTGTAAGATTAACGGCCAGATTCCAAATGAAGTTGGAAACTTAACCAATTTAATAGACCTTGATCTTTCTAATAATAACTTGATTGGATCAATTCCTACATCAATTCAGAACTTGAGAAACCTTCAACGCTTGTACTTGAACATCAACAAACTTACAGGATTTATTGGAGATAATCTTTGTAAATTGCAACATGTGGGTGTTATTTCCTTGGGTCAAAATCAACTTTCAGCTGCACTTCCTAATTGTTTAGGGAACGTTACTTCCCTTAGAGAGATATATATGGATTCCAATAAATTGAGTTCCAATTTACCAACAAGCTTAGGAAATCTTAAAGATCTAATGGTTCTTGACTTATCATCAAACAATATGGTTGGCTCTTTACCTCCAGAAATTGGAAATCAAAAGGCTGCGAACCAGATAGACCTATCGATGAATCAATTCTCAAATGGAATTCCTAGAGAAATTGGAGGATTACAAAATCTGGTGCACCTTTCTTTGAGACACAACAAGTTACAAGGATCTATACCCGACTCAATGAGCAACATGGTAGGTTTGGAATTTCTAGACATTTCTCATAATAATATATCGGGAACTATTCCCATGTCTTTGCAGAAACTTCAATATCTCAAGTATTTTAATGTTTCTGACAATAAGTTGCATGGTGAAATACCCTCGGGGGTCCTTTCAAGAACCTCTCGAGTCAATTTTTCATCAACAACGAAGCATTGTGTGGTTTGTCAAGGTTTAATGTCCCGCCATGCCCCACTTCATCAACGCAAAGATCAAATAGGAAAAAATTGCTAGTTCTATTTCTTTTGCTAGGAATAGCAATTGTATTGGTTCCTATCGCCTTTGTGTTCCTGTGGATAAGGTATAGAAGAGGTAAAAGAGCTCCTCAACAAGCTGATTCATTGTCTATGGCAACAACAGAAAGAATTTCATACTATGAACTGCTCCAAGCAACTGATTCTCTTAGCGAGAGTAATCTGATTGGTTCTGGAAGTTTTGGCTCTGTCTACAAAGGCATTCTCAGAAGTGGAACTCATATTGCAAGTGGGACTGCCATTGCAGTTAAAGTGTTCAATCTGCAACTGGAAGCGGCATTCAAGAGTTTTGATATAGAATGTGAAGTTTTGCGCAGCCTTTGCCATAGGAATCTTGTGAAAGTCATCACTAGTTGTTCCAACCTTGATTTTAAGGCTTTAGTGCTCGAGTATATGCCTAATGGAAGTCTTGACAAATATTTGTATTCGCACAACTACTTCCTAGACATCAGGCAGAGACTAAGCATTATGATAGATGTGGCATGTGCATTGGAATATCTCCATCATGGGTGCTCGTTACCTGTGATTCATTGTGATCTGAAGCCTAGTAACGTCTTGCTGGATGAGGATATGGTTGCCCACCTAAGCGACTTTGGTATTTCAAAACTGCTTGGTGAAGATGAGAGTGATTTATATACTAAAACCTTAGCAACATTGGGTTATATTGCACCAGGTACGTCTCTTTGTTTTGCTGATTTTTCCTTTCTTTTTCTTTTTCACCAAGAAATTATGTTAAATCTTCAAACTAATTGTTTGTTTATAGAGTACGGACTGGATGGATTGGTGTCTATAAAATGTGATGTCTATAGTTACGGGATCATGTTGTTGGAGATGTTTACTAGGAGAAAGCCTAATGAGTTTGAGGGAGATCTTAGCTTGAAGCAATGGGTTAGTTATTCATTCCCAGAGGCAGTAATGGATGTTGTAGATGCCAACTTGGTAACATCAATGGATAATCGCTTACAGAAGGAGCTAGATGTTGTGTCTTCAATCATGAAAGTGGCATTAGATTGTTGTGCTGAATCTCCGGCAAGAAGGACAAACATGAAAGATGTTGTAGGGATGCTACAAAAGATCAAGATTCAACTTCTTGCATGCTGATCAACGTTCTCGGAATCACTTATTTGTTGCAAATGTTTACTAAATTGTTGGATTCATGTAAGGATTGTTTTTTTTTTGGTTTTTATTTTAGCACACTTGATTTGTGCATGATTCTGTTTTGGAATACTGGTTGGTTTCAATAAATCTCACAATTTCCCTTCCACACTTGCTCAAGTCTTCGAGGGCTGTTATTAATAATTGCATTGACGACATCAGTCATATTCATGCCGCACATAACTTGGAAAATTTATCTAATCTAAAATGAGTGGTTTCAACACTTGGATATCAAACTGACAACTAGCACGGAAAGTCCTCGTTTTGGTCCAGTAGAATGAATGTTAAAAGCAAATTCCTCAAAATCGTTTGATTCAGGTACCTGACAAAATGAATATTGAGATGACATAGATGATCCACCTCTTTGTTCACTTGTGAGTGTCAACTCAGAAAGGTCAGGTACAAGGGAAATATATGTATCCATATTAGACACTATCCTTCCCGCCCACCTCATTAATATCAATAAGGAAGAATCCGAGGATAGCCTGATTATCAACAAATAAATCTAAGATGTGTATCTTCTTTTATGATGTCTCAAAGTAGAGTAAACACCTATTTAATATAATTGAGAAAGGCAAATAACAAACTATGTTTTCCAAAACTCTGTTAACTTAAATCGACCTATACGGCTCTTATCTTTCTGGAACAAGATAGAGAGATCAAAACTAGGAGTAGAGAAATGATATCGAAAGCATTCAAACAAGTAGGCTTCATTATCATACAATTGAAGTGTTTGATATTGAGGGGTAAAGAAGTGCTGCATAGTTAAGTATCTTTTGATGCTTCAAATTTCCAATGTTTTTTGTAGCATAATGTGGTCTTTATTTGCCTTAAAACCATTGTAATCGCTAACACATTATTTCACCCATAATTTACTCATGTAACTTTTAAGGCATAATTTCCTCTATTCATTTACCCACATTCTTCCTATGTATTGCAAGAAAGAATTCTTCACCTGTAAAATAGTGGAGGTCCTACATTGTATTTAGGACAAAGATGAGAAGTAGTATAATGTGTTTGTACGTTGAGGTTGAGGTTAGAGTACTGAAGGAGAGAGTTGAGACAAAGAAGAATATTCTAACTCTTCAACTAATTCACTATACAAAAGAGATTAATTTTATATTGAAGGAAGGTGTACGTTCTTTTGTGGAGTTTTGGACTCTTCAACTAATCTGGAGTTTGAATTATATGACGTTGTTATGTTATTGTATCATGGAGGGAGAAAGTCAAGAGTTATACTGTTGGATCGGTGTAGTTTATGTCGCAGTGGGTTTAAATCTCCATAAAGAGAGCGAGATACTATTCATTTTATTTTCAACTATAATTTACTATAATTTGTGGTACATACACCATCAATTCTTATTGACTTAATGTTTCCAGGTGTTATTTTGTGAGACAATTGATGGACTATTGCATTCTCATTTTCAATTGTGTGAGACACACACCAAGAGAATGTCAAGAAGTTGAATTCTTGACTTACCCACACAAGCAAAATACACAATTATGTTTAGAGCAGTTGAAGGATATTCATTGGTTCGACTGAAATTTAAGGGTTCGTTTAGCCATGTGAGATGATATAATCATATGATATGAAGTCATATGAGATGCAGTTGAAGTTTTTGTTTCGACATGCAATTTGGATCTTTTAAGTTGTATTTTTGCTCATAAATACAATAGCTTTATAAGCTGTAATTAAAAACTATCAAAATTGTCTCAATTCTTTATACCATCTTACCAAATAAGCAAAAGTTCAGAACAAAAGTATAATAGATTATCACAAAGTTATTCTAAAAAAAATACAATATTTATTGATCGAATTTTAGTTCTTAAAAAAATAAACTGAGCAAGAGCTATAAACTTGTAGTTTACTATATTTATTGAGCCGCTTGTTGGTCAATATTATTAATAATCATATCATCATGCTTATATTTCGTGAATATTTTATCGCTCCTTTGGTATTCTCACAAAAAAATATGTGGATATAAAATGGTGGATTTTCTTTTTACAAAATATAAACTTGTGGGTCGATGTTTGTATTTAAAAAATATGAAATCATGATATGAAATTCTCAAATCAAGCTTTTTGGAGAATTTGGGATTTCATCCCACGGTTTGAAATCATAAGATGAAATCACACGCAACTCTCTGTCACTGATATGTGCTGAATTATGGACGTCAAAAGATTAGTCAAGGTTCACTGTTATATTCTAATTGACAATTTTACTTCTTTTTCCCATGAATTTGTGTAAAACATGTTTACACCACCATCATGGTTTGCAAGACTTGTTGATTTGGTTTGTTACTGTAACATCCGGCAATGTGAAATAATTGAAGAGGCTTAGAATTGGAAATTTTCATTTTTTGGAAAGAATTTTAAAGTTTTGGAAATTTTGCTAAGTATGGAAATCAGTGAATTTTGGCCAACTTTGAGAAGTCGTAAATCCTAGCTCAGGATGATTTAGGAGTATTTCCAGTTATGGTTGCGAAGCTTGTGGAATGGTCTTTCCAACGCCGCTGAGTTTGCTCAATTCCGAGTTCGTATGAGCGAGTTATGGCCATTGAAAGTTGGGCAGTTGGCAGGGAATCCGTCCGGTAAATTAAGGGCATTTTAGTCTTTTCCCTAGCCAATTTTTTTGGGATTATATTGTTGTATAGGGCTGATCTTTAGATCATTTTGTCCCATTTAAGAAAGTAAAAGCTAGGGCTTGAGAGTGAAGAAGAGAAGAAGGAGAAGAAGAAGAGAAAAATTGAGGCGATCAACAAGTTTCCAACAAGATCATCGTGGATTTTCGTCGGGGGTGATCCCTATTAAGGTATGTGAGCTTTTAGTGTTGGGTGATCCTTCCCCCCCACACACCTAGCCCCTTCTATTTATTAAGAAAGGATTGGTTATGTTGTTAAAGTTGTTAGTTGTTGTTGTTGGAATTATTGTTGGTGGTGGGACATGATTGAGTTGTGTTTTTGAGTTGAAATCTATTGAATGTTGAGGGATTTTATGTTTCTAAGTGATTGGGGGCTGGAATCTTTGAGGTTAGAGGGTTTAGAGTTGGTAACGTGAAGGAGAAAGTCGGGCAGCTTGCGAGGAGCATGTCCGCGTCGCGGACTTGTTCCCTCTGTAAACAAAATCTTCTCTGCGTCGCGGACAGAACGCGGACTCCACTGTTTTCAGAATTTATGTTCGAAGATTTTCTTAGGTTTGGCTGTTCCAGATCATTCCTAAATCATTCCTAAACATCATGAGGTCCTTCCAAACACCAATCAAGTCCTTGAATCCATAATTCAATTCAAGTGAAGTTAGTTTCCAAGTCAAGTGAAGTTAGTTTCCGATTCAAGTGAAGTCAAGCTTAGAAGTTAAGTAAGTCCAAGCAAGTCTTTAAAGCTTTTCAAGAGTCTTCATTGAACATTTTAACTTCATTCTAAGGCTCAAGTTCCAAGTTAAGTATATAAGTTTCAAGTCGAGTAAAGAGTATCGAGTTAAGTCAAGAGTCAAGAGTTGAGTTCATTTCTCAAAAGTAATTAGGGAACTAAGTATTTCCGAAGGAAGTTTATAAATGTTTTCACATTTAAGACGAGAGGAAACTGAGATTTCCAAAAGAGTTTTGAGCACTATCTCTTTTAAAAAGAAAAGATGAGTTTTTCAAAAGAGTTTCTAAAATATGATTAGATATGACAAATCGAGTATGTCATCAATGTTGAAACAGTATGGTCTCTAGATATACCATCAATGTTTAAGCAGTATGAATATCCCGAGTCATCAATGATCATATTAAAAAAAAATGTGGTTTTGACTTGTTCTATTTAGAAAGAGTTTTCAAGTGCCTTCGGGCTAAGTTTTGAGTAATTATCTCAACTAAAGAAAGATGTGTTTAAAACACTTATGAGCTAAAGTATTTTAGAAGTAGTATCGAGCACCGATTTGGGGACGCGAGTTCATATTAAACTCAACTCTCCATAAGAACCATGCGCCAACATGGGACTTGACGTATCATTCTTTTTAGATGATCACGTAAGATTAGGCTAGTGGATCCACTAAGCAAAAGTTAAAGTAAGGTCCTATATCGATGGCAAGGTATAGGATGGTCCTTGGGCAACGTGAGGTAAAACGTTGTATCACCACAGAAGCATGATCTTTTCATGATATTATAAATATGATTTTTACGTCATGTTTTAAGAGTTTTACAAGCTTTATATATCGCATGTGTCTTATTGCTTTATATATTGAGTTCAGTTATTCATGAGTTGAATAGAGCCAAGGTAAGTGTTCTCTTGTACTCTTTTCAAGCTTAAGTTGTGGTTTAGCTTTCCAGCTCGCATACTCGTACATTCCATGTACTGATGCCAGTTGGCCTGCATCGTTTTATGATGCAGACGCAGGTACCCAGGATCAGCATTCAGCACGCCGTTGATCCAGTTGAGCACTCCAGAGTCAGTGGTGAGCCTCCTTGCTTTCCGGAGGACTCAAATATTTTGATCTTTTATGTTTTGTGTTATTAGGATGTTGCGGAGTCTGTCCCAACATCCATCTCAGTATGTTAGAGGCTTCATAGACAGTCAGTCAGTTAGTTTTGAGTCTTTTATCTATGTATATATGTAAATATTCTATTTTGAGACTCGAGTTGCCTTTTTGGCCAGATGTGTATCATTTAAGTTGTTTATGTCTTTGCATGGCATTGAGTTATTCTGTTGAGTAGGTTTCCGCTGAGTTAAGAAAGCCAGGCCAAGGGTTCGCTTGGGGCCAGCAATGGTCTCCGAGTGCCGGTCCCGCCCAGGGTGTAGGCTCGGGGCGTGACAGTTACAATTGGTCAAGACCTTGGGCCCACATAAATGAAGAAAGGTTTTTATTGTTTTTGGTTTTCTACCCAGTGTTCGGTACCGACATTAGAGCCGCTCCAAATTCATCCCAGGAAGTTCCACGTTGGGGGAGAGGGGGGCAAGCACTCCGTAACAAAGGCAACTTCGTACTAGGGAGACTCAAACCCAAAACCTCTGGTTAAGAATGGAGTACTAACCACTTCACAACCCTTGTTGGTGAAGAAAAGTTAATCCTAAAAATGATTTAAAAGAAAAGTCTCCAAAAAAAAAAAATTCACTATATAAGTTTCAAAATAAGTTACTAATAGCCATACCATTTTCCTACTAATTTATGAAATTATGGAGAAAACAATCATCTCTGTTCTCTTGTTGCTTCACAATGTTATGATTAGTTCAGCCGTGACCCAAACCAATATTACCACTGATCAATTATCTCTTCTTTCTTTAAAATCTCAAATCATTTCGGACCCCTTTCACAATTTGGATGAAAGTTGGTCTCCCACTACTTCGATTTGCCATTGGGTAGGAGTCACTTGTAGCTCTCGTCACTAGGGAGTGAAGTCCTTGAATCTTTCCAACATGGTTCTTACAGGGAAGATTCCCCGTGATGTTGGAAACCTCACATTTCTTATTTCTCTTGACTTGAGTGGCAACAATTTGCATGGAAATTTGCCTCAAGAAATGGCACGCTTGCGTCGGCTAAAGTTTCTTGATTTAAGCTTCAACAACTTTAGAGGGGAAATTCCTTCTTGGCTTGGGTATTTATACCAACTTCAAGTTCTAAATCTTGAAAATAATAGTTTCACTGGTTCCATTCCTCCGTCACTCTCGAATGCCTCAAGGTTGGAGACTTTAGAAATATCAGCCAATTTACTTCAAGGAAACATTCCAGAAAGGATCGGCAATCCTTAGAACCTGAACTTTGTTGGGGTTTATCTGCCCTGATTTCTTACCATAAATAGGTTTCCCTTTTAGGAAAATGCTTTAATATTTTAACTAGTCTTTTTCTTGTAGGAAAGGTTTTAGGACTCTATAAATATAGGTTTGTTCCTTCTAACTTATGGAGGAGTATTTTGTGTACCTCCTTGTATTCCGAGTAAATTGGTTGAGGTTGTTTCTCTCTATATTTTGTACTCTCATATTTATAGTGGATTGCTCATCTCCTTTTTCAAAGTTTATACATTCAGATTTATTTATTTATTCAACAGTATAAGAATAAATTTATATTCAATGTAAGATTGACACAAAATTCTCAACAAATTATTTAGTTTGAACAACAAAATAAATTGTGTAAACAATACACTTTATTTAATCCAAATACTAAAGTGAAAAATATATGTAAGTGCAATTTATTGAGCATGAACACAAATGTCTTGTTGGGAAGAAAGTACAATTTAAAAGTAACTGCAAGTTAAAAATATTATTTCACTTATCTTTCGGGAAGAAAGTACAAGTTTTCCTGTTGTGACCTTCTTGTCCACATTGCCCACAAGAATTCTTGCTCACTGTTATCTTCTTATCCGCATTTTTCTTTCTTCGTTTCCTTGGTCGTCCAACCAACCTTCTATACCTAGGTGGCAAAACAATTTCATCTAAAACATAGTCTGGAACTGTCCAATCCTCCTTATCCGGCATTGGAACCATTGCAACCTCGTAGGTTTTTGCTAATGCATCAGGCTTGTAGTAATCAGAGCAATATGGATGCATATCCTTAACATTCTTGTGCTTTAAAACTGCAATTGTGTGTGCACAAGGTATCTCATCTTGTTGAAATCTTCCACAAGTACATGATTTTCGCTCAAGGCATACAGTGTATCTTCTTCCGGCTTCATAACCTGAGAAAATATATTCAGATGATGGAACAACCTGAAAACACTAATAAGTTAGTGATACATTACATGATATTCCATTTTTATATCATTTCCAAAGCAATGCTTAATAGTGAAATGATCCGAGTTTCTGATACATAAAACAGAAAGTTATGGATATTGATAAATACCTTCATCTTTGAACTTTTAGATGCGTTTACAATCAATACCTCCTCAAATCTTCGGCCCAATGTGTCCTTTGTATATAACGCTATTTTTCTATTTTTACAGTTTCAACTAATAAATAGAAGTCTAGCTTCCTCCAAGAAGTCTATTATAGTTAACCGACGTGCATCAACAAGGCAACCATTGATACACTCTGCGATGTTCGAAGTCATCATTCTACCTCTGTTTACTATTGAATGAACTCTTGACCACTTCTCATACCCAGCATCCTCAAGGTAATCCTTCACCCTATGATCAACTTTCACCACCTTAGCCATTAATTTATCAAAATCCTCCTTTATGTATGCCTTTGCCATTGAGTAAAATATATCAGTTAGTGTGTTTTTATTTCTTTTGAAGTTTGAACAGACATTCTTCCAAAGATGCCATATGCATGCACAATGAGGTACATTTGGGAACACAATGCTTACACTCTTCATAATACTTTCATTTCTATCTGATACAATACACATATTTTCACGCTCGCCAAATGCATTTTTGAATTGTTCGAAGAACCATGTCCACGAACAGTCATTTTCAGTGTCTACAACACCATATGCCAACGACAATATGCAACCTAATCACAAAGCAACACACATTTAACTTATTGATACATAACGATTACATTAAGATACATTGATTATACATATAAAACAAGTTCAAAATTACATCAGTATTGCAACAGTCAAACCTGCACCATCGAGTGTGCTAGCTGATACAAAAGTACCTTTGTAAGCCCTGCCAAGATGTGCACCGTCCACTACAACTACAGGTCTGCAGTAGTCGAACCCTCTCATCAATGGCCTTAGGGTTATGAAAAGATACATGAATTGATTATCTTCCATCTTTTGCATCCTTATATATGAATTTGGATACACTTTATTTAGCATCCTTATGTATCTCGGCATCTGCTTGTATCCATCTAATGGTTTACCCTTTAGTATCTCTAGTGCACGTTCCTTAGCACGTCATGCTTGTTGGTATGATATTTCAACCCATATAATTCTCGAATATCTTCAATTACATCTTTCGGCGTATGAATTCGTTTATGATTTACCAACTTAGGGGCAGTCACACCACTAATAAATCCAATTGTTGCTTGTACTTTTGTTAGTATCCTATCCCGCATCGGACATGTATGTTCACTATTGAAGTATCTCACTTTGAATACATCGAATTTCTTTCTGCAAGAAGACTTTAAACACCAGCCACATTCATCACTGAAGCACACTATCACATAGCTGCCAAAAAAAATTCATCAGAATAAGGCATATAACAAAAGCATTTCAAATATATAATGTTACAGTGTTTCACAACTTGTCACATAATTATTCACACTAATGTATCGTCCATAATAAAGAACACAGCAAATTTTTTTACAATATTTTTATGTATCGGTACTACAGTTTGTTCACATAATTATTCACATAACCCTTACCAATTTGTTCAAATCATCAGACACCAATTTATTGTTTTCTTTTTACAATAAATCCCTTAAAAATGAAATCATTTCCGATCATGTCCTTTCCTTAAATTTGGTTCTTAAAAAATGAAATCATTTCCGATCTTTATATTGTTTTTTCTCGGTGGTTTTTAGGGTCCTTTTATAAGTAAAGTCTTAGAAATACGATATGTATGCATCCTTACCCCTTACCTTGTAATAATAGACCCTTAGTTCATAGCGTACTTTAGTGTTACATTTTAATATTACATAAGAGAAGATTATTGAGAGAAATAAGGAAAGATAATTTAACAACATACAAAAAAGGAAAAGGCTCAAATATGTCATCGAAATTTTAGAAAAAACTCATTTATGTCATCTGTTAAAAGTTTGGCTCATATATGTCATTGTCCATTTTTTTTAACTTTGATTTTGCAAAACCATTTTTGATACCCCAAAACAAGGTTTAACACTTTTTGATTGGTGTTTCTGGATCAAAGGTATATTTTTTGCTTCTACTTCCTTAAGAACACATAAAGAACATTAACAATTTCCAAATTTCAAACTTGTCAATTCTTCACGAAATTGCCTCAAATTTCAAGAGTAGTTTCCCTCCGAGCTAGATACCAAAACTTAGGGGTGTACATGGCCGGGTTAGTTCGGGTTTTTCAAATATCAAACCAAACCAATTGTGTCGGATTTTAAAATTTATAAACCAAACCAATAAAACTTGGGCTTTTCAACCTCGGGTTTTTTCATATTTTTTTTAGTTTTTGGGGTTGTTTCGGGTTTTTCCGGTAAATATTCATACAAATATATAATTTACTTGTACTTCAAATATTTTTTAGTCCTACCAAAATACAAATATCTAAGGTATTTCTTAAAAAAATAACACAATATGATATGATTAATGACACTAAAATATCCAACAAAAATAGTAATAATAATGAAATCGCGTAAAACAAATATTGCAAATTAACAAGTCATAATGAAAATGATCATAATTTGAAAGTACTAAATCATGCTAAAATAAGTTTAATAAGTATTAGTTACATGACTAAATAATTTGATTTTGATTTAAGTTTTATTATAATTATCAACATCTATGAACTATAATCTTTATAGGACCATTCCGAATTCTAAGTTTTAAACTTGAAATAATATATTAAAAGATAAAAACTATGAAAAAGTATAAGAAATATTTAAAAATTATATCAAAGTAAATATTTTTATGTATAAAATAAAATTTTAAAATTATATATATAATGTCGGGTTGGTTTGGTCTCGGTTTGGTTTTTTTTAGTTAAAACCAAACCAACCCAAATATAGTCGGGTTTTTTTTTTCAATACCAAACCACTAGTCGGGTTTGTTTTTTTTCGGGTTGACTCGATTTGCGGTTTGGTTCGGTTTTCGGTTCGATTTTGTACACCCCAAAACTCAATATCTTTTGAGCTCGAATTCAACCTAACTCAACAAGACCCACTTGAAATTTATTCAAAATTTCAACATTCTTTAATGATAGAATTTTCTCCACACTTCAAATCATTTGAAAATTTGAACATAGACTCAAAAAACACTAGGCAACAAGGATCTAATGTAAAAAACAAGTACAAAAACACGAAACAAAACAAAATTTTGAAATTTTGGGATTGATTTTCATTTTTTGGATTTTTTTTTAATGTGGGTGAATTTTTCAAACTCTACAAATGATTTTAGATTTTTAGTTTTTTAAAAAAGAAATTAATGATGTAGCCGAAATTTGAGATGATTTCATGAATAATTGAAGATGTTGAAATTTTGGAAGTTATTTATGTTCTTCATGTGTTCTTGGTGTTCTTAAAGAAAAATAAGCAAAAAGTGTACATTTGATTCAAAAACTTTAATTAAAAAGTGTTAAATCTTGTTTGCGGTGTAAAAAATGATTTTGCAAAATTGGAGTTAAAAAATGGCATGGATGAACTTTTTCTTTAACAACAATGACATAAATGAGCCAAACTTTTAACAAATTAAGTGAAAAACAATGGAAAGTTTTGCTTGTGTGGTAAAATTTTGTGAATTTTCACAACACAGATAAGATTTATCCGTCTACCATGATACAGCACCAATAATTTAACATGATATTGCATCAATTATTATCAGTCTACCATATTAACGACATGAGTTAAATTTATGCCCCACATAACTTGGAAAATTTATCTATTTATTTAAAATGAGTGGTTTCAACACTTGATATCAAACTCACAACAACCAATAAAAGACACATTTTTTTTGTTTCATTGAAACAATAATTTAGTTGCTGATATGTTTTTCCGTTTCCCCTTTTTAAAAAGCTTCAAAAGAAAAGTCTCCTAAACACATGTTACTAGTAATACCATCTTTCCATTATGTGATAGGTCCTTTTCCATTATATGTCCCAGTGGAGAGAGATATTCTTAAGTCCCATCTTTCCATTATGTGAAATCAATCCGCATTTCCTTTCACCAGCCTCAAACATATATGAGTCAGTAAGGTGGATGTACAACAATCGTCGTAGAAGTGCCTCTACGCGCCTCAACCACTACTTTAACTAGTCCTTTTGTGCAATCATGAACTCCATGGAACTTTATCAATTCCAACCCAACTTATCCTTTTGGAACTGACGTAACAAACTATGCGCGCCGAAATTTGAGATGATTTCGTGAATAATTGAAGATGTTGAAAATTTGGAAGTTATTTACTCCCTCTGTCCCAATTTATGTGACACATTTTGCTTTTCAAGAGTCAAACAGTTTAAGTTTGACTGAGAATTTGCACATGAAATCTTCAATTTTTTTAAAATGAAATTTATATATTTATAAACTACATTAAAAGTACTATAAGTCTCACTAATTGATAATTCAAAATATTTAAAAGATATATGAAAAATTTACGGTCAAAGATAGAGTTGTTTGAATCTCGAAATTCGAAATGTGTCACATGAATTGTGACAGAGGAAGTATGTTCTTCATGTGTTTTTGGTGTTCTTAAAGAAAAATAAGCAAAAAGTGTACATTTGATCCAAAAACTTCAATTAAAAAGTGTTAAACCTTGTTTGCGGTGTAAAAAATGGTTTTGCAAAATTGGAGTTAAAAAATGGCATTAATGAGCTTTTTCTTTAACAACAATGACATAGATAAACCAAACTTTTAACAAATTAAGTGAAATTTTGTGAATTTTCACAACATAGATAAGAATTTTCCGTCTACCATGATACAGCACCAATAGTTTAACATGATATTGCACCAATTATTATCAGTCTACCATATTGACGACATGAGTCAAATTTATGCCCCACATAACTTGGAAAATTTATCTATTTATTTAAAATGAGTGGTTTCAACACTTGATATCAAACTCACAACAACCAATAAAAGACACATTTTTTTTGTTTCATTGAAACAATAATTTAGTTGCATTAATGCTGATATGTTTTTCCTTTTCCCCTTTTAAAAAAGATTCAAAAGAACAGTCTGCTAGTAATACCATTTTCCTACTACTAATAATTTTACATATGGAGAAAGCCTTGAGATCTTTTCTTTTAACACTACTCTTGTTGTTTCACTTTGTTATGCCTAGTTCAGTCATGACTCTTGCCAATGTTTCTACGGATCAGTTAACTCTTTTTTCTTTAAAATCTCAAATTATTTCGGACCCCTTTCATTTCTTGGATGATAGTTGGTCTCCCACTACTTCTGTTTGCCATTGGGTAGGAATCACATGTGACTCTCGTCATCACAGAGTGAAGTCCTTGAATCTTTCCAGCATGGCTCTTACAGGAAGGATCCCCCGTGATTTAGGAAACCTCACATTTCTTGTTTCTCTTGTCTTGAGTGAAGTCCTTGAATCTTTCCAACATGGCTCTTACAGGAAGGATCCCCCGTGATTTAGGAAACCTCACATTTCTTGTTTCTCTTGTCTTGAGAAGCAACAATTTCCATGGAAATTTGCCTCAAGAAATAGCACACTTGCGTCGGCTTAAGTATCTTGATTTAAGTTTGAACAACTTTAGAGGGGAGGTTCCTTCTTGGTTTGGGTTCTTACACAAACTTGAAGTTTTAAATCTTGGAAATAATAGATTCACTGGTTCCATCCCTTGTTCATTTTCTAATATTTCCACACTTGAAACTTTGAATCTGAGATTCAATTCAATAGAGGGTCAAATCCCAAAAGCAATTGGAAGTCTTGAAAACTTGAGAGTTTTAATCTTGGGTAGAAACAAATTCATAGGTTCTATTCCAGAAGAGATTGGCAATCTTCACAACCTGAATGTGTTGTCCATGGAACATAATCAGCTTACAGGTTCTATACCATTCACAATTTTCAATATTTCTAGTATCCAAGTCATCGCATTTTCAAACAATAGCGTATCAGGAAAGCTTCCCAATGATTTATGCAATCGTCTTCCAATACTCAAAGAGCTTCATCTATCAATGAACAAGCTTCATGGTCATATGCCTATAAGCTTGTCAAATTGTTCACAACTTCAAATATTGTCTCTATCTGTAAATGATTTTGATGGACCAATACACAGTGAAATTGGAAGATTGAGTAACTTGCAGATATTGTATCTCGGATCTAACCATTTCACAGGTATATATGTTTTATTTTACGAATGCTAGTAATGTATTGTACCTAATAACCTCAGATCTTTTTTTATTACACATTAAATGCAGGTATAATTCCACAAGAAATCGGAAATCTTGTTAATTTGGTGGAATTAGCCGTGGATGTAAACCAGATTACCGGCTCTATCCCAATCTCTATATTCAAATCTCCTCATTGCAATTTGTTTCACTAAGGGGGAACAATCTCAAGGGATCCTTACCACGGGAGATTGGCAACTTAACCAAGATACAAGTTTTATATCTTAACAACAATAGGTTTACTGGTACGTATTCAAAGTGATATATAGCAATCTGTATTAATGAACTAGCTAGCTAAATTCATTGATCATGTGTTGACAGGTGAAATACCCAAAGAGATAAGAAATCTGGTTGAGTTGGAGGAACTTGCTCTTGGGTTTAATAGTTTTAGTGGTTCACTTCCAATGGAGATCTTCAATATATCAGGGATGAGAGCAATGGCTCTTTCATTGAATAATCTATCAGGAACCATCCCACCAAACATAGGTTCTACCTTACCCAACATTGAAGAGCTTTATATCAGTGACTTGACCAATCTTGTTGGGACTATTCCTCATTCTATTTCCAATTGCTCAAAGCTTACTATCCTAGAGCTTTCAGGTAACAAACTCACAGGCCTGATTCCCAATTCTCTTGGATATTTGACTCATCTACAGAACCTAAATTTGCCAGAAAATAATTTAACCAGTGATTCATTTTTAAGCTTCCTCACTTCCTTAACCAATTGCAGAAATTTAAGACTTCTTGATCTATCATTCAACCCTCTAAATGGAATGCTTCCGGTCTCCGTAGGGAACTTCTCCAAATCTCTTGTAAAGCTTTATGCCACTGATAGCAAGATTAACGGCCAGATTCCAAATGAAGTTGGAAACTTAAGCAGCTTATTAGACCTTGATCTTTCTGATAATAACTTAATTGGATCGATTCCAACATCAACTCACAACTTGAGAAACCTTCAGCGTATGTATTTTCAGTACAACAAACTTACAGGATTTATTGGAGATCATATATGTAAACTGAATCATTTGGGTGCTATTGACTTGGGTCAAAATCAACTTTCAGGATCTCTTCCTAATTGTTTGGGAACGTTACTTCCCTTAGATTGATATATCTTGCTTCCAATAAATTGAGTTCCAATATACCAACAAGCTTGGGGAATCTTAAAGATTTAGTGCTTCTTGACTTATCGTCAAACAACATGGTTGGTTCTTTACCTCCAGAAATTGGAAATCTAAAGGCTGCGACACTAATTGATCTGTCAATGAATCAATTCTCAAATGGTATTCCTATAGAAATTGGAGGATTGCTAAATCTAGAGAACTTTACTTTGAGACACAACAAGTTGCAAGGATCTATACCTGACTCAATGAGCAACATGGTAGGTTTGGAATTTCTAGACATTTCTCATAATAATATATCGGGAACTATTCCCATGTCTTTGGAGAAACTTCAATACCTCAAGTATTTTAATGTTTCTGACAATAAGTTGCATGGTGAAATACCATCGGGGGGTCCTTTCAAGAACCTCTCGAGTCAATTTTTCATCAACAACGAAGCATTGTGTGGTTTGTCAAGGTTTAATGTCCC